AAAACGTAGACCGGCTTTAGCGACAACAGCACAATTTTGGACATCTTCAACTTATAAAAGACACACTAGCTTACTATCATCGGTATGTGCGAACTGGCGTTTTTCACTTTTTTGGTGAAGAAAAGTTAAATGAAGTTTTCCGGAGTGTCTTTCTTTTGAGAATTCGCAAAAAAACTTTAAGTCAAATCTCCCCCACCCCCTCCTCCTCGTAGTCGTCCATGTCCTCAAATCCAAAGTTCTCTGTTCTTCCCATGCAGGAGGCTGGACGCTAGTCAAAAGGGTGATCTTTTCAGGCGGTTTCCAACCAACAAATGGAGAAGAGATTCAAACCACCGACTACAGAATTCAGCTTTCAAACTACAGTTCCAACCTACACCTTCTTGTCACCGAAGGTCTAAAGAACCTTAGGAGCGACATAGGCTTTCAGCAATTCAGATTCTACTGCCGCAAGGCCACGCCAGGCAGAGTGTTTCATATTACGACAAAAGCCACCTCACTAGGGGAGGCCGTAGTGCAATACTTTACTGGGAACACCAGCGTCCCTCCCCAGGCATGCGACTCTTTCACCGCACTGCCAGACGATAACTCTACGTTATCTGGTGAGTGCATGAAATGGGGGCACCCAACAAAGAACACGTGGGGAAAAAACGCGTGGGGAAAAAACGCGTGGGGAGAAAACGCTACAACTCCAGAAAATATTAAAATGTACAAAAGGCTTGTTCTATGGAAAAGTGAAAAACATGCTGTAGCAATGGGCCATTCGGATTACTTCTGCGATGATTTGACAAAGGACGGATCAGATGGAGACACGTGGGAATTTTACGTGCGATAAGTCTACATCACTTTTATTTTGAGATTTCGCTTGAGACTGTTTAATTGCCCTTTGGTACTTTTTTAAGCAAACTAATAGTGACCTAGTTTTCTACGCAACTTCGTTAGAGCCAAAAACCCAGAACAGTCCCATAGTGCAATTCGACACAACACAGACCCAGTCGCCAGCTACAATTCGCTACTTTAGAAAAGAGAAGTAAACTGGGGTGAGATAACTTTCGCAAAGACTTCTGGGACTATTAGTAAGAAAAGGAAAATAAATTGGCCAATAGCTGACCGACGCATTCCCAGTAACGACATTTCGTTTCTAATAGACTCCGTTTGCCCCTTTTTGGCATGAACTTTCGTTTTCAAATGCTCATAAATATGTATTTGAGCAAAAATAACTAAATACGCAAAATTTGGGAGTGAACAAACAAAGTATTAAAGAAGGAATCGTCAATAGTCATGAACACATAAGTTGGTATGGTTTATATACTTTTACGGTTCACAGACTTGCGTGGATAAAACTTTACTGGGCTACTGAAAAAAAAAGTCTCTAGAGAACGTGAATGCAAGGCAATATTTTACTGCATATATCTAAGTTCAGAAACGGTTTCCTCAATTCGGCTTTAACGTAATTGTCTGCCTTACCTCCAAACCCATTAACGATAACCAAATTACCCTGCGAGCAGTGGTTTCTGCAGGCCGGAGAAACAACTACTCTCAGAGTATAAGCAAATGTAACAAAAAGCATACAAGGATACACGGGTTATGATCATCCACATTGCAATGATCCAGGAGTAGAGGAATTCCTTCAAGTTCACGCACCTATATGAACATTAATAAAACCAATAAACCAATTACTGTAAAAACCCGCGACTAAGAACCTGGTTTTTATGAACCTGTTAAGTTAAAATTACCCATTTAGGGCCCCTTCGTAGAGGAAGCTGTTTAGCCGAAAATCTTAAACAGGTTTTTATTCTCTAAAATGTCTAAAAAAATTCTAAACACTTGGGTAAATAAGATAAGTCAACATTCAGTATCCTCTTTGGTGCCTGATCATTCCAACTGCAATGCAATGGTATGCAGATTTTACATAAGGAATAAGCGGAATACCACTGAATACTCTTAGCTACAACGTGTTTTTTTCTTCAGAAAATAAGAATCTATTTAATAACCTTAGTTACTAAAATTTGTGCTAATCACCATTTATTCAAGAACCTGTTTGGGCTAACTTGGGAAAACGCACGTTCTTACTTGCGCGTTTTTACTGATTAACAGTAAATAAGCACTTATATCAGCAGGTATATTCTCTGCACTGTTTTTTGTACATTTCCTACGATAATGATGAGGAGATTTTGTTTAGCAATTAAGACCTTTTCATTTGCTGACCATCTCCTTTTTTCTCCTGACCTTTAAGATTGATTGATTAATGCAACTTTAAGGAGAAATTGAATGTTGGTCACTCTAAGGGGGTTAAACATTTTTGACCACCACAGTCTGATAAGTGTTTGTATAAGCAAGGTTTTCGATGAAAACACAAAGAAGGTTCATTTCACATTTGAGCCATAAGACAGTAGTCTTTAAAAGCCAAAATGGTTTTGTACACGGGAGTTTCTGAAGATGGATTCCACCTCGATCAAAACACAGTATTAGTCTACTTGGCAGGTGCCAGTTAGTTTTTTCATGGAGCATCCAAGGAGAAAACGTGAAGGGTGGAATAGGCCTCTTCTCCTTTTTCACCCCTCACGTGTGCGCATCCTTGAAATTTCTCCCTTTGCCCAAAATTACAGGCGCCTGCTACACAGGCATGCATCTTGCCTTGTTTTGATTGGCTGTGTGTTGGTAGCACATGTTTCCAATAACTCGCACCAGGTCTCTCTGAAAGCCATGACTAGGGCTCAGTTTCCCCGAGTCTACACCTTGTGGAACAGAGCTGACATTGCTAAATGTTTCTTTGATGCCAGGTTGAGCTGTCTCCTTTAGTAAACCTGCAGAATTGAATTGTACATATTGTTAGTAAAAACTATTAAAGTGAATTTGAAACATGTCAAATTTTGTATATTTGCTGCCAGAAAGCTACGCTCTGAGCAAAGACAACTTAAAAAAGGAAATAAAAAAAAAATGTGACAGAAAATTTACCTTCATCATTCATTTAGAGACTGATGTGACGTAACCTTGTCTAAAGACCTGTGTTAATTTTGGCTGGACCTTCGGTACTTCTTTATACAACAGAGATCTTAATTAAAGTTGAAATCACTATTTTACCTAGCCTGCATGGCAGGTGCAAAGTACCAGTACTGTGAGGATATTGTGCTGTCAGACATAAACTAAATATTAAAGAATGAAAAACACAGTGCAAGAAAAAGACGCAACAGCAAATTCCCCCAAGATATGACATCACCTTTGGGGGTTTTAAACTCTGGACACATTGCTACTCATGAACGACCCAGCAACAAAGTGATATTAGCTCAGAAACAAACTAATAACATTAATGCAAAAGCTATATATTTTAAATGACTAAGTGCGAACAGCCAGAAGCTATGGGCAATGTAGTGAGGACACAGAGGTTTTTGAAATGCATTAATGGGGACATTTTGTTTGAAATCAATAGGATGTTGTTTCACCAGTTGAAGGAATAACTATATGTAGGTTTTCTCAGACATAACTAATTTTGTAAATGAATCATGAAAGAAATTTCCATTCCTTTCCACATTCTTGACTAACCTAGACAAGTCTCCAGTAATGCTGTTCTGTCATGCAAACCAGTGATATTTGATGGTAGTCCAGTACTTATGGAGAGTAAACTTAAAAGCCTTGTCACAATCAGCACCTGAAACTGATAAAAAATGCTATTTTAGGCCTGCAATTTTATGGTCTCCTTGCCAGGCACTCGGGCTGAGTCACACATTCCTGCCCAGGTGTAGGGGCGGGGAGCACTGCTTGACTTCAGCCTGAACAGCTGCAAAGGAGGAAACTAGTAATTCCATGTTCAAAATGAAAATATGCAACTTTTTACCGCTGAGGTCATTGTGGAAACATTTTATTGATAAAAATGAAGCCTAAAAAATGTCCAAAAAAGAAAAGCATTGGGAAGAAAAGAGTGAGAAGTTGGTGAAGAGGAATAGATGGCTGTAATGCCACTTCTAAAAATTTTGCCTTCTACATGTATGTGTTGTGGTTCAATTTTTTTCCTTGGTTTGGATTTTATTTTCCTTGGTTCCAAACTCATTATCATACATTACCATACCCCCAACAAAGGAAAATAAAATTTAAACCAAGGATAAAACTGAACCACACAATATGCATGCCTAAACTTGTAATGTAAAATCAGAAACATAAGCCTGGTAGAACTCAACTTGCAATCAATGTTTTGGGCTGTTTTTGGTTCTTTTTAAACAGATGTACAGTGACCAGTACAGACAGCACAAGTGTGAGGAGTCAAAGCAAGAGTAAAATGTAGACATTAACCCATTTGCTCCTGGGAATTTTGCCAAAAATCACCTTCTGAAGCCAATCGAGCTGTTTTTTCACTGTCTTGCTATAGTGAGCCAAAACTGTCCAACATTCTGTTTTTAAATCAAGTACTTTGTGACCCATTCCAGATGCAAAATATCAGCTTTTCTTCTCTTGTTGTTGTTGTTGTTGTCATTGTTGTTCTCTTTTGATTTGATTTGTTTGTTTTTTTTTTGTTACTGGGCATCTAGTAGGCTTCATTTCAGAGGGTAACGTTAGGAAACATTCTGGGAATGCCTTAAGGATCTTGGGATTGGATGGATGGAAAGGTAGGTGGGCAGTTGAATTTTCAGGTCAACATTGTAAGGTTTTTTGCGTTTGGGGACGGAAGAAGAGACTTATCACGACAAAGACTAGACCAAACTTTCTAGAGAAGGAAGACGTGTTCAATCTACTACTTCTACAACAGGAACTGACAATTTTGTCTTCCCTACACCTAGGTGTACCCGTCAGTTACAGGTGGTTTATGGGTCAATCGGTTAGGCAGAAAAATTATGCAAGACACTTACAAAGTCATCAGATGAGGTATCCATTTCTTGAAGTCTCTCAGTGATATTTACAGCATGATTTTCAAACTGATCAGCTACATAACTTAATGACGGTGCATAAAACTGCTCTTCCACTGACTGCCCTTGTGATCTGTCACTTGGTTCATCTAAGGCATCTAAAACATTCAACAAAAAAATTCAATCATCATTTGCATACCAGCAACGGTGAAACTTCTGTAGATGGCCAAAAAGGCTGCAGCATTGAATATCAAAGTTACAAATAATTATTAAAGTTACAAATGGAGTTGGATCTTGGCTTATTTAACCAGCAAAAGACTACCAGTAATTACTCTACACCAAGGCCAAAACATTCAAAATAATGTACCTGTTAAAACAAGTCTAAATGGAGTTAGGCCTTGGGCTTGACCAAGCCAGTAAAATAACACCTTTTTACACTACATGGTCTAGTATTCATCCTATTAGCTACTCTCTAGGGCTGTCAGTAAGGTTTCAAGTTGCCACATATAAGTAATTAAGGTGTAGGTGCAGTTTTGACAGCTAGGAAGTCCTTTTCATTCTATGATCTTCTTTGTTAATTCCTATGAAAGTAGCGAGAAGTGAGGAGGTCATGTTCATATAGAAAAAACCCTGGGAAATCTCCAGCCCTCAGACCCTGATGACAACCCTGTAACAAACGAAATAACTTTAAATTTACCTTTATCGATAATGATAGGTAAATAAATATTAAACTTACCTGTTGTTTTCACCTGGAATAAGTCCAACAGAATAATCCTATTAACCAGTAACGAGACAAAATTACAATACTTAAACACAACAGTGCTCACTAAATGTGCAACAATAATGCACGCTCTAAGAATAAACCAATAACAATGTTACTTTGTTATACTGTGAAAAATGCAACATTTGCATAAGATAATACTATTTTGACAGATATTTTACAGTTTTCTGTTCCTAGTGAATCCTATCCCTTCATTGTACTTGAAACTGTAAATGCAGTTCTACAGTACTGCTCAAAAGAATCTTACATGTACCAATCTCATCTCATTTCTCGAAAGACAAGTGTCTCATCCCAGAGATGAACATCTCGTCTCTAGAGACAAGAGTCTCATCTAAAGAGAATCAGTACTGCACAGTGGCAGATCCAGACCTTCAGATAAGGGGGGGGGGTGGCCTGGCCATTCAGACTCTGAGATAAGGAGGGGGGGGCGGGCTCAAAAATACTTTTTTCAGCCCTTCGGGCCTCATTTTGGTCTAAAAAATTAATAAGGCGGGGGGGTGCCCCCACCCAGGCACCTCCCCTGGATCTGCCACTGCTGTAGCAATTTTGGCATAAATTACAGGAAAGGTCCAACTTCTCTATGACTAGGACATGTGGCTCAGATCAAAGAAGAAACAACATTCTTAACAGGGGGCCTAAAGCTTGAAACATCGGGGAAGGCTTTCACTCTATTGAAAAACATGTTCCAAAAACCATACATTATAAAAGAGCCAACATCTGAACCTCTTTATATTTGCCTGCAACAGCAAGGCATACAACCTGTTTTAAACTGACACAACACGTCACTTACATCACACTTAGTGTGATGATGCTATTGATCCATGAAAACAATATGGAGTAGTGTATAAGATTCCTTGTGAATGCAGGAAAGAATACATAATTTTAAAGGCAAAATGGGATGATGCATGCATGAACAGATTATGGCTTTAAAGAATTCAAACCTCAGCCATTTCTGAGTATACCAGTAAGACTTAATTGGCATTAATAATCTGTTTTGAGACAAGGTTAAGTCTATTGACTGAGACCCTCACTGGTACTCTTGTAAGGGTTAAAGGTAGAATCCCATATTTTAGTGTATAAAACAGAGGAGCTACGTCATGAGAAAAGCGATGATAAAAGACATAATGAGGTGAAAATAACTTTAATTAGATCCTGTGGACAGGTCCTACAATGATCCCATTAACAAGAAACCTTTCTGAAGGCATTCTGCATTATACTATTACATTTTTAAATATTTCACAACACAAAATAAACACAAGCTGTCTATTTTAGCAGAAACCTAAAATATGTTTTACTTTTTAAAATATGTTTTACTTTATACCTTCTTTACCTTGCGAGTGGATCAAATTCAATTCCTTGATACATCTCAGGGAATAAACCATTACAGATCAAGTAATCTAAAATAAAATATCTGAAAAAAAATAAACTTAGAAAAAACTGTATTGAGCACAAAAGCTTAACATGATTAAGCACGACACTAAAGACAGATACATGATCTGATTAATGGGGGGGGCACCCCCTTATTTGGCCAGATGGGTATGTCCACTCAACAGGATGTGGTTCTCAAGGTCTTGAATCTTACAATTTCACTATTTAGGGTGACCGTCTTGAACAGGGTGCCTTTTTGAAGTGTGAAGGCTAGTGATAAGTGGTCTACATGTGTGGTACCAACAATTTTTATCTTTTTCAAAAAAATATGTGTATAATTGCATGACATTAGTTTTAAAAATTACCTGATTCTGTGTGCGAAACAAAAGGAAGGAGGGTCATGAAATCTGGTTTCTTGTCTTAAACATGAATGATTTTTGTCTGAAACAGGGTCAGGGTTTGAAGACCTTGAAGGCACAGTCCTCCACTCAAACTTCTCGAGTGCCACCCCCTCCCTCTTTGGATCTGATTATTTATACCCACCCCCACTCAAGTTGAGTCTTCTCTGCACACAAATGAACAATGTGAGAAATGATCTTCAGTCCACAGTGGTCTCTTACAAGCTGTATCCTGGAAAAAAAATATATTAAAATAGTGGAAAAACTTCTGTAATCCTGAGCAAGTACAGATAGCCCTGAGATATACATGTATACCAAGAACACAAAAGCTTGCACAAGTACCTGTTCTGTTCATTTAAACAGTTGTAAATTATCATACATAAACAGTCTTGGATTGTGTGATTTGTTGATGAAAACACATCTCTGTAAGAAAATTAAAAATTAGCAAAAAAACATTAACTTTGCATAAAATTAATACCAAGCAGAGGGAAGGACATGCACTAATGTAACAGAATGCCAGTGGGCCAGAAAGATAGTTATCAACAAAAAAATTCCCCTCACTAGATAACAAAAAGTGTATAGTTTAAAACAAAACAGCAGAATACCATGATTTTCCTTAATTTGATTGATAAATTGGGAATTCATAGGTTCAACCAAACCAGTTCAATAGCATCATTTTTTTTTTCAGGGCAGGATGAAGAGTACATGTAGTCTTCCATGCAGCTGTTCTCTGTGTCATCACAAAGTGAGGGGTGACCCACACAATGAACAGCTGCATGGGAGACTAGATGAGGAGGAAAAGAAAGAATAACTAACTGCTTATTCACTTAATATCATAGGTGACGAATTACTCCTTAATTTTGATGCAAAATTTGAGCGATAATTTGTTATTTCACGTGTGAAATTACAAAATTGCCATGGCAACCTTCCGCACGTCTCAGTGTCAAGATGGCAACGAAAGTTTTAATATGTCATGAATGACTGAAGATGCTAGCGCATAAAAAGACGCTTTAGAAAACCTAAACACACAAAAGAGCACATCAAGAAGGATTCTAACAGGTTTTTTGTCAAAAAATTCTGAACTTAAGCCAAATTTAAGCTCTAAACGTTCGAGAGAAGGAAGTTCTTGATCGATGCAATCCAGGAATCATATAAAACATGTCAAAAATCCAAGAATGCTAACGTAATTTGTCACCCATGATTAAAGGCTTGGAAAATTATGAGGATTGCTGATTTGGACAAAACGCACATGAAATTATTCCCTAATTTCACTCGTCACCATTTGATTACACATACTAAGACAACATCATTATTTCATTGAGAAAAGTTTAATTTAATGTTTCCCAAAGGATAACAAAACTCACAAGAAAAATTGTGGGAAGCATTTCTTCCACACAAGTCCCTGAGTAGTCTCATTTTTTACCACTGCATTACCAAGAAGCTGAAGGCTACTTCTTAAAACATCATTAACAGCATCCACTCCTACATGCATAGAAAAAAATTCAGTTAATATAACATGTTGGTTAACTCTCAGCACAATCTTTTTACTTTTGTCCTCTTTCACTAACTGGAATTTCGTTCGGAAGATGATGGAGAAAGTTAAAGGACCATGAAACCAAAGTTGTTTCAATATTAATGCAGGTAACGGACCAGACGGTGTGACCTTCTAGACTTTAATCTCATGACAATAATAATGTTATCATACTTTATTAACACTGTAATAACATCATCATCACATTTCCCCAAGTTAACAAGGAACAGGGCAGGAACAGCACTTCAAATGCAACATACCTATAAAACATTTAGCTGGAACATGGGGAGTTTTTTTATTACAGTTATGCTCAAAAGTAAGTTACCACTCAGCTCTCACAAAACAAGAAATGGAATAGCACATGACTTGAATCAGATAGTGTACAATGGGATTCATGTCTCATGAGAGATTATTACATGTAAGGGTCACTTGCTGTGTGATTCTCACAGTGCTAAAAGGTTATAAAACTGTAAGTACAGCTGCATCGTTGCTAAACTTTACCGTGTAACAAAACTTCAAAGCTATGCAAACTGAATATCACAACTAACATTAGCATCGCCACTCAACACAACACAAAAGCATTTTAACAAATGGAAATTTTGATCAAGAAATTAATACAAAAAGGACTTACTCTGAAGACTTACTACTTGTGTAAAGCATAGAATTATCAGAATCTTGTAGATAATGCACACAAATCCGTCACACATTCACTAAGTGACTCGATCATGCATGAACATTTTGGATTGTTTCTTGGTGTTACAGAAGCTATTGCTGATTTGCTTTTGTTTTGTGGTGCAGATATTGTGTAATGTATTTTCAATCTTCTGTTAGGTATCATTTGGTGTTTACCCTTGTTTAGTTTAAACAAGAATTTCTACTGTCTCGTATGAATAAGTTTAGGGGCAGAAACAAAGGGAATTGTGAACCAAGCAGGGTCGAATACTGGTTTAATGTGAGAACGGATGTTACTCCCAAAATAAAGGCTATCGTTACTTTTAGCACACCCTAACTCTATAGAGGAAAACAAGTACATTGTAAGAGAACAACATTTTGGTAGCAAAATGACGAGTTTAATACGACGAAAAAAACAATGCCGTATTTTCTACAGCAAATATATAACAAAAAAGGGGCAAAACTGGACATTTCTGGATGCATCTTTTAGCTATGAACAATGAATTCAAGAAATTAAATTCTCTGCTGTTGCTAGGTATGCTACTATTATGGTTTCTCTTACACTGTAATACTACAAGTATTTCAGTACTTACAATATAATGTTCTGATTCTTAGGTGTTTCAGCGCAACAGTTTCTTAGAAATCTGAACGCCTCTGTCAAAGTTTTCAGGTGAAGACTAAGTTGTTCATGTTCTTCTACATTCGTGTGAGAATACAACATATTCTTGCAAGCCACGATGATATCTTTAGTCTGTATTACGTGAATATCCGATAAACAGCATCTACAAAGAATGAAACACAACTATTTGTGAATGAACACATGTGATTCCATTCGCTTCTAAACAGCTGTTGAAAATGTATAATCCTCACAAAAACCTTACCTATTGCTTTTTTCTAAGGCCGAAGATTTGAGCTTTTCCAAAACTGCTCTAATTTCTATCCAAGACGTTTCAGATTGACCAAGCATCTTTGCAAAACAAGCCAGTTCGCGAAGAAGTTCATCCGCCATCTTGGAATCTTGGCGATTGGATAAGAAACATTATGAAGTACCAGTTGTGACATAGGAATTCCGCTGACCCAATTCGACTATCCTTGACCTCGTTCCCAGGGTCTGCTCGTTTTTCATGTGGCGGCTTTGTTTCTCGCGCAGATTTCCTAAATCCATCTTTCCCTTTGTCTTTCTTTTTAATACCTAGCTTTGTTGCCCAATTCTCATGGAATTTTGGCTAACTAATAGCCTGCGTCAGGAGTCTCCTTCACAGCGGTCAAACGAGTGAAATTTGCAAAAGTCAAGCGAAATACTTCAAAGTTAAGGTTGCTACTTTCACTATCGAAAGTTTAGGGTATTACCAACATCCTGTTAGTTTACTAATCATAACTATAACAAAATTCTCAAATCTGATTGGTTCTCAACTGCCCTGATTTCAGCCTTAATTGGACAGTTTAATAGGACAGTACGCGTCATGCCTAAGTAATTGGACAGTACGCGCCATCACGCGCGCGCTTAAATGGCTTTTTTTTTATTGCTAGCGAAAAAATCTTGGAATTTCTTGTGTTTTGATTTAAAAAGAGCCCTGTATACCACAAATTTTGTTAAAGTTATCATGATTAATTGGTAACAGAACTTCGTGTCATCCAATTCGGTCTGTAATCATACTCGTGATTAAACAAATCGGACTCCCGCTACGCGGTCACTCGTATGATTACTGACCGAATTGGACTCCACTCAGTCCTGTTACCATTACTAAAAAAGTTCTAAGTGATTGAAAACCGATGCTGACGTTATTATCGGCGCCATTTTCAAACATGATTCTCTATTAGCGCGAAGCGTTTTCAGCGAAAAAAGCTCAAAATTTTGAGAAAAATGGAAAGATAGCTATGTTGACTAACTGATTTATACATCTTTGCCCATTTTTCTCTAACTGGTAAATGAAATCCCAGCAATAAAAAACAAAAATAACGATTTAGACGTTTGACCGTGGTAGTGGAGTCTCCTGCCTACGTTGCAGAACGATAAATGCTAGAAAGAACGGGACACCCGTGTCTCCCTCGCGCGCGCCCAGTTCCGCGCTCATTAGGGACCTTATGATCCGACAACAGCAACGCAAATGAAACCACGCTAAAAAATTTGAAACCTTTTCGCCCTCATACCAAGTCGCCCAGTGACTTGAAGTATGGAAGTTAAGTTGGAACTGAAGAGAGGAGACCGTGTCCGAGTTCAGAGAGAGATGAAACATTTATCGCCTTGTCGTTTCCTTTTCAAGTTAACTCAAAAATTTGACCATTTCACGCAGGAGTTGGTCAAGGACGGCGGAGAAATGTACAAAAAAGCGTACAGATTGTTGTTTTGCTCACTGGAACCTATTGTGTTTCAGACGTTTCCGTTGCCGTCGCCATCTTAGTTTCGTAATGTCCCTATTATTACTTCCAAGCGCCTGCTACTAACTTTTCATAAAGGGACTAACTTAATCGGCAAAGGACTGTTACCAAAGAGTAGTAGGTTAATGATAAAATTGGCAACTCATTTCCCCCCACCCCCCCTCCCAGATGTTACTTGCTTGCTGTTAGGATTAGTAAAAGTTTCCAAAATGAGGTCTCTGTGGTCTCCATTTTGAGGGCTACTTGCGCGTGACTTCGCACATAATTCCCGTCCCGCCCTTCCCAAATGAGGAGCTTGCTAGCAGTCTTAATTGAATTCAATTTCGCACATATTTTGGTGTTCAAATCAAGCTACTATATAGGGCGCTAACTATGGCTGTATCCTTTATTGAGGTTAGAAACTGGGTAAAGTGAAATTATTCTAAAATCAATGTTAAAGCTCAGAAAGGCATCCGCTCATCTTGATTTTAAAGGACCTAAACAATCGAAATTGGAAGACGAGTTATATTTGCAGTCTGTTCTTATAAAATTGATGCCACCTCCGGAAAGGTAATGTTTCTTATGTAAACGTAAACTTAAATCTGATAATGTTTGGTTTATTAGTCACAATACATGCTCACTCCGCCCGAGGTCGGCGAGGCTGGATAGCCAGTCTTTATGATTGTAATTCCTAGCTCTGGATAATGTTGTTTTTCGTTGTTACTGTGTCAATGTCATTGTTGGTTTATGTTTTCGTTATGTCTTTATTTCATAATACTTCCACGTTCCTTCAAAGCCGCTACGCGTCAAGAGGGAACATTTCCTTCAGTCGAACCTGTTGTGTCTCCTCCATTCGACAATCCACATCACGTGACTTTTCCAGATCTCCATGGGTTTCATTTGATTGGATGCATATCTTGAAAATAGACAACGCTATCCGGGACCAAATTTGCCTGTAGCTCACGTCACATAAAAGGAGCATTGGAGAGACTGACGACTGAATAAAAACCAACCACTGGATTAACACGTTCAGCTCTTGTGGATACTGAACAGCTGCCATTTGAAGTGAAGCTGTAACGTAAAGAGGTAGGCAGCAAATCAGAGTAACGCAACACCTCAGCATAAGTAATCGTGACAGCGAGCGTTGTTCCTTGGGAGATTTAGATAGAGGGAGCCATCTTGGGCTTTCGAAGATCTTCCTTCGCTTATAATTTATGTCAGGAACTCGGTAAGATATAACGAACGGGCCTTTAGGGGTGCCATGTTGAGGGCTACGTAAAACAACAGAAGTAGACTGAGACCCTTGCAGTTGTGCTTCTTGGCTACTTCCGGGTTCAGTTTGCTGAGCATGCGCCCTTTCATTTTGGCGCGCAATGATCTCCAACAGAGTATTCAAGGCTCCTTCCAGTGGCAGAGATTTCTGGGAAGCCTTTCTTCCGGCCATGGGACTGTTACATGCTGATGGTAAGACAGATCGTCTGGTTGCGATGGAGCCAGCACGAGAGGAAAAACGACCAGATCTTATCGAAGTTGAAGATGAAGCCGCGGTTGTCATCTCCGGGTCGTTCATTTTTGTTTCTAATACATGTCGCTCCCAATAGAGCTGCAATGGGTAAAAGCGGCGCTTCTTTAACGCCTTAGCAGCAAGAAAGGTACTGGTTAGGAGAAGAGCGAAAGAAAGGGCGAGATAGCAGATAGAATAGTGCGAGATTTGCGTAGGGCGAGGTAAAGCACAAGAGTGTATGAAATAAAGGCCATCGTAAGAACTCCATCCCAGAAGAGGCACTACACTTAATACCACTGCCATAAAAACGCAAACGGCGAGAACAGCGATTTGTCTTCTCCTGGCACGACGTTTTTCAACAGACTGGACATAATGCCTCACTTTTTGACAAAAAACAGCTAGCACGAAAAGAACCAGAAAACACGTGATCAGCTGCCAGGTGCTTAGAAACGTTAGGGCGTGACATACTGACTTGCTATTTTCCAACCATGATGGACCTATAACATGAATCACGAGCATGATCCCGGGTCCAAGTAACGTAGCTGTAAAGTCCAGCGCAGCCAACAATATGATGTGGGGACATCTTAGGTTTGTACGATAGGAAACAAACGGTATGACAAGATTCCCGCACACACCTAGTAGCGCTAGTGTAATGGCGACTACAAGCTGAGCAGTACTGGGTACCACAAACATCACTGGTATAATGTAATTTCCTCAGTTGAATGTGAAACAGAAGCTCTGAAAAAGCAAAGAACAGAAAATCAGGGGAGAATGTATTACACTGAAACAGTAAATCGGTAACAACTTTTTTAAATGTATTGTACGCGTATGCAAAGGACTTAAAGAACGATGTACACGGCTCAACTTTGACGCATTTGATGTGCTTGCGACAATCCTACAACGGGAGGTTTATCGTGTACATCTCACTTACAAATGACTTCCCCGCGGCTATCGTAAGTTTGATTTACAAGGTACGATTTGGGTTGTACATCTACGGTAAGCACATCGCACGTGACAGAATTGCGATTTTTGCGATATTTGTTAGCGATTTTCTGACATAATTTTTTCTCAATTATTTCTTTTGCGAGAATTGCGAAAAACATTTGCTAGCAAATTTTTGCTAACAAGATCGATCCTGGACATATCTCAAACATTCAAAATAATGTACCTGCTAAAACAAGTCTTAAATGGAGTTAGGCCTTTGGCTTGACCAAGCCAGTAAAATAACACCTCTTTACACTACATGGTCTAGTATTAATCCTTTTAGCTACTCTCTAGGGCTGTCAGTAAGATTTCAAGTAGCCACATATAAGTAATTAGTCAGTGTAGGTGCAGTATTGACAGCTAGGAAGTCCTTTTCGTTCTATCTTTTTTGTTAATTCCAATGGAAGTAGCAGGGGGGGTCATGTTCATATAGTAATAACCCTGGGAAATCTCCGGCCCTCAGTCCTTGACAACAACCCTGTAATGAACAAAATAATTTTAAATTTACCTTTATTGATAGGTAAATAAATATTAAACTTACCTGTTGTTTTCACCTGGAATAAGTCCAACAGAATAACCCTATTAACCAGGAGCAAGACAAAATGACAATACTTAAACACAACGGTGCTCACTACATGTGCAACAATAATGCACACTCTAAGAATAAACCAATAACAATCTTATTTTGTTATACCGTGAAAAATGCAACATTTGCATAAGATAATACTATTTTGACAGATATTTGTCAGTTTTCTGTTCCTAGTGAATCCCATCCCTTCACTGTACTTGAAACTGTAAATGCAGTTCTACTACTGCTCAAAAGAATGTTACATGTACCAATCTCATCTCATTTCTCGAAAGCGAGGGTCTCATCCCAGAGATGAGCATCTCGTCTCTAGAGACAAGAGACTCTCATCTAAAGAGAATCAGTACTGCACAGTAGCAGATCCAGACCTTCAGATAAGGGGGGGGGGGACCTGGCCATCCAGACTCTGAGATAAGGAGAGGGGGCCGGTCTCAAAAATATTTTTTTCGGCCCTTTGGGCCTCATTTTGGTCTAAAAATAAGGGGGGCCAGGCCTCCCCAGCATCTTCCCTGGATCTGCCACTACTGCAGCAATTCTGGCATAAATTACAAGAAAGGTCCAACTTCTCTATGACTAG